GCGCCGCCTCCAGCATCGTCGTCGCCGCCGCGCGGCCCGATTGAAATTTCAGACGAGCGAGGAAACGGGGCGGGGGCGGCGTTCTCGCGCGTTAAATTCAATCCTTCGGGTCGATCCCGACGCAATTAAAGCTAATCGATGCGGATTAACTTTAATCTCGACTCGGCCCTTCCGTGACCGAATTATTTCCTCGTTTCCCCCTTTTCTCTCTCTCTCTCTTTTTCTTTTTTTAAGGCAAGAACACAGTTTCACTCTTCTGGTCCCGCGAGAAACCGGAGGGGGCGAAAGATGCGAGTGAAACTCGCGTGTTCCTGTGGTCGCGAAAGGATTCATTTTCCCTCTTTTTTCCAATTTCTTAGATCTACAAGCAAAAGGACGACGCTGGACCAAGCCTTCGGTTAGTTCACTTCAGTAGAAATCAATTGATACGTTGAACGACTCTTGAAATTCAATCCACCCTCGAGAAAAACCCTCTCGGAAACGGTAGGCTGCGGGGAGAGGACGGTTCTTTCTCTTTCCCCCGCGTAAATTTCCGACCCGCGAGGTCGCCGTGTGCCGGCTTGTCCAGGATCCGCTAGATCCGGCACGGACAGTGGTACACAGGGGGGGTCAATTCTGTATCTCGCAACATCGTGTGAACGTTAGAAGTGAGCGACTCTCTCTCTCTCTCTCTCTCTCTAAGAGGCCAGTTAGAAGGAGGCAGAGCTACTCGCTTTTAGCATTTTCACGGCAGCGTAAGACAGAATTGAGCCGCAGGACACGCATCATAACATACGGTCCGTCGTCGGCGCGCGTACACTCGCGCCGACCGAGAGACGCTGCCGCGCGTGTCTCTCGCAAGCCCGTGCGTCAGGCGAGGACGGCGGAGCCGCGACACGCCGTCGACGCCGCGCGAGCGTGCGGGCGACAGGGAAAGGGGGGAGGCGGGAGGGAGGCAGGGGGGGGACTCACCTCGTGCGAGCGCTGTCAACAACAAAGCCAGCAGGACGGCGAGAGGACGCGGCTCCATTGGGTCGGCAGCAGGTCCCGTCCGCGCGCACAGACTCCGGCGCGGCGCGGCGCCGAGAGCGAAGGCCTCGGGATCAGTAAGACTCTTCCCCCCGCGCGCGCGCGCGCGAGCGCAGGCGGGCGGGCGTGAGAGAAAGAGAGAGATCTCAACGCCGCGCTCTCACCGTCGAGACGACCACCGCCGTTACACGCGCGCGCGATGTGCGATGTGCCGGAGGTGCGGGCGCATGCCACCCGCGTCCGCCGCCGTCGCCGTCGCCGTCGCCCTCGCGCCACGGGCCCGTCGCTTCACCGACGTCGCGGCCGTTCACACGACAGATCGGCACTCGCGCCCGCGACACGCATTCTCGCACGACAAGCAGCAGCACGCTGACCGTATTTGACCGTAAAACATGGCTAACGGACAGGAGACAGGCGTCCGGGTCCCGGGATTACCACCAGTGATGCCAGACCAACGGTGAGAGTCGCGCCGCGCATGCGCGCCTCACTCGCCCCCCCTTAACCCCACCTATCAACTCTTATTGCGACTCCGTCGAGTGTAGCCTAGGGGTCGCGACGTACAGGGAGGACTGCACGGACTGCACTCGCGGTTGAATCGCCGGCGTATAGATGGCTGTCGCGTAGATCGGAAGAAGGTGAATAATAATATAATATCTAATATCTGTAATATCTAATTATTTCTCGAGAAATGCAATTAGATGTTACATGATTGAAACATGTAGAATAAGATTTAATCTATTTTTTTGCCGAGTTGGCTGCAGTCGCGGTCGGTAATTCACCTCTTATGGTAAAAGGTTGGGACAGCCTTTACGACTCACGTCTGTGTGCATCCGATTGCATATTCAATATTACATTTTTCTAATTGCTACAACTAACGTTGTAAAATTTAAGATAAATACAACAAAATTACAATATAAAGTTGCTAATAATTATTTTAGTGTAATTTAATACGTTCTATGAAAAATATATTAACTTATAGTTATTTTATTAAAAATAATGGCAAATATAATTATATGTAATAGTAATACATCGCAGTTATAATTTTATCTATCTTTATAATGCAGTAATGTCCCCCTGTCCCTGCCTACCTGAATCCCTACCTATCCGTACTCCGCTGTATGGTCTTAGCTAGAGTCCCTGTAG